GGAGAACCCGTTCGACTCGTTTATGCAGTTTTGTGTGTACTAGGGCTAAAAAGAACGAGAGATATGCTTCCCACACACACAAATCGATCCAATTTCCTGGTCTACAAGAGAGTGCTGCCCCCTTCCTCGCGCAATAGTTCGGAGGCAAGCAACCGCAGGCAGGGGCCTCAGGGAGAGGACCCTTACTTTCTGTGTTCTGACCACGTATTGGAGCTCCTTCTGTGTGACCGCGGGTCGGAGCTCCAATACACCCGTTAGAAATGCTGTGAGCTGTGGCCGCTGTGAACCAAAAGAGAGGGAAAAAAATCCGCCTCTAGAGTTCCACCTGGCGGATGCTTTTCCGCTCTTTACCGATACTCCATACAGTAGTGGGGGGGGGCTCAATATCGTCGGTATGTGCCCGGCAATCGACCGGCTCTATTGAAAGTACAAGGATTACTCGGTGATTCAGTCTGAGTCCAGCAACTTCACCGGCGCTATTCAACCGGCGTTATTGAGCCCTCCCCTATGTATGCCGGCGTGCTACGTACCGACTTTGTAGGGATACCATTAGGCCAATGGTCCAACGACTACGGCACGCACGGCTATGAGTACACCCTCCCCACCGCATGCCGTGGTGAAAATCTATCCAGCGCGTGGCCGCAGTTCAGGCGCAGGCAACGGGGCGCGTAATTGCCAAGACAAGAGGTCGAGGTACCGCCCAGACCACCAACCGCAGCGAGCGGTGTTCGAGTGTTTTTTGTGGGAAACGCCCCCAACCTGGGCGATGGGAAAACGAATTATATCCCCCATGGTGCACAGTTTCGACGAGTCGTGATGCGTCATTTAGGCCCACTGTCGTGGTGTAGTCATGGCGATGCCTATATACATGTCATGCTTCATCAAACTCTGGAGCATACGTGCTTTGATTTCCGCCCTGCTTGAGAATACAAGGGCTGGTCGGGCAGCGGAAATATCCGTGTCCCTTGGAAAACCTCTCTTGCAGTGATACTTCACTCCGATCCCCCCCCCCCCCCCCCCCCCCCCC